GTTGTTGGTGTTGGGTATGAGTAGATGAATGCGAAGCAAAATTTAGTTTTTCTTGTTGTAAACAAAGATTTTGTTCAAATAATTCCTTATTTCGTTGTTTAAGCATTCTAAAAATAAAATTCTTTTATTTTATTAAAATAATCATTAAGTTTTTTAATTCTACTTTAAATCATTTCGAAATGAATTAAATTCTTGAAAAAATAATTCATCATTACGTTTTTTAGCTTCAGTTACCTAACACACAAAAAAAAACAAATAATTCTTATTATAAATTAATATGATAATTATTTATAATTACTTTTTGTTGTAGTTCTTCATTGTCTCGTTTATATTGTGCAATGATTCGTTCAGTTTGATGCAAAGTTTGTTTTAATTTCTCATTTTCATCTGTCAATGTACGCATTTGTTTTTCATAAAATTCTTTAAACAGATGAATTTTTATACAATAAAATAACAACAAATACGAACTTAATTTTTTTTCAAATGCCTCTTTTTGTTGTAAAGGGATTTCATTGATATTATTCGAACGACCAGTGATGACATTTTGATATTGTTGTTGTTGAAATTTTGTAACTAATTCTTGTGATGTATGCAATTCATTTTGTAAAACATCTTTTTCACGACGAAGTGCTTCTGTTTCACTATTATTCTATATATATATAAACAAACAATCGAAAGTTAAGCTTCTTTTTTTTAGTATTCAGATATGTCATACACTTGCATAACCATTTGAATAAACAGTTGGTGATTTTGCTTTAATTAATTTATTTTCAAGTTGTAATTCTTGAATTTCTTTATGTAAATGAATTATATCAAGTTCTTTTTCTTGTAATTCTCGTTGAAGTGTTGAAGTATCACTATCAAGTGGTAGGAACTAAAATATGATGATAATTAGAAGTTATAACAATGTTTAGTTATCAATCAACATATGAACTTCATGAAAAAAATAATAAATTGATTGTAATTGAAGTACATAGAATAAGAATTAAATTAAAATCTATATTCTTTTTTCTCTCGATTGATTTGAAGAATATACAATATCAGAATCAATATCTACAAATGATCGAATATATCAAATCCAAATATTTCTATTTATAAACGTCTTTATTTTATTCGAACAAAGTTAATTGCTATGAAGAAACAAAAAATGAGATCGATAATGATTTTTTTGACATAGTATCTGACTTTTTGAAAGAATAAATATACTGAAAATTATTTTTTTTTTTTGAGAGGGTAACTACATAAAAAACATGGCTTGTCGATATAATGTACAAGGATTTATTCAAATTTTTTTTATTCTAAAAGAATGATCTGATACCCTTCAAATGTCGTCCACACTGATTTTCAAGGGTCGATATTGATCTTCGGTCGGATAAGGTCATCACAATAATAGAGAGGTTGTATTAAAATTTTCAGTCTTATATCATGACGTTTTTCGGAAGATAGTCATCAAACAAGAATCGAAAAAAAGTTCATCCAGTTGACACAAAATTTTCTGTGGGTTCACATTCTATAAATTTAATTTTTTCTTTTTTTGTCTAAAAGAGTACATCAGAGTGCAATGCTTGAAGGAATCCTTTCCTTTTTTTTTTAATACTTACTTTTTTATACGAAGAAAATGTATGACAAGCTCAATACCTTGAAAACCTCTCCAAAAATGATCATGTATTAATAGAAGTGCTTTTTTATATTATCATAAAAGCGCTTAATTCAAAAAAAAAAAAAAGAAACGAATTCTATCAGGTACAGCAGCGTCACATGTTCTTTCAAACCAGAAAAAGAATGCAATCGACATCAATGAAGTTCCATGGAGACTTCTGGGATATGCTGTCAAAAATGCATAAACAGAAAAAATGTAAAAAAAAAATCTTAATAATATTGACGTTTCTAATGAATGGTGCCTCGATTTATTATACATCCTAGAAGATGTACTCTTATAAATTATCTTCTTTCAACTCTAGTATCTTATAAGACAATTAATGACACATCAAGTCAAGATTGGTCTGTTTTTATAAAAAGCTTCTAGAGATGTTCTATGAATTTTAATACTCTGAAAACTTAAAAAGCTAGCATTTTTTTACTCTATAATTTCCGATTGCTTATTAATATTTCTCTTTAAAACTTTATTAAAATGCTTACATCAATATTTCTAACATTATTATTGTTTTCCTCATCATTTTTGACTATTGGTGTTGTTGTTGTTGTTATTGGTCCTTTACTTAAAATATGCATTGATGGATCTGAAACATCCGATACAGCATGATCATCATTAATCGGTGTTAATAATTTTCCATCATTTAAATGTTTTATAATAAGATCAATTTCTTTACGTCGATCATCATTATTCATCGTAATTATTGATGAATTTGAACGTGGTAATGTTATATGAGCACGATCACGAAGTTCATTTGTTAATGTTAATAATGAATTATTTGTTTGTTCAAATTTTGATCTATCATATAATGATGGTATACTTGAATAACTTGAATAATTTCGATTTTGTAATGTTTTTGAACTATTTCTTAAAAGTGAAGATATTGGATTAGATAATGATGATGATGATGATGGTTCAATAATATCATCAATTAAATCATGAAGTGATGATGGTCGTTCGAGTTTAGACGACATTTTATATTATCTAAAATGCAAGCAAATAGAAAAGAAAAAGAAACATTCTTGTAAATAAATCCATAAAAATTGTTCAGTTGTATGCTATCAAATTCTGTTTGAACTGGAGAATTTTTTTTTTCTTCTTCTCTTTCTCCTTCTCTCATCATCTATCAAAGAAAAAAAGAAAGAAATCTAATTATATGCTCAAACTATTCAAATATATATATTTTTTTTTAAATCAAATCTAAGAATGACAGAACAAGTATAGATGAAGCATTATAATTCAAGAGAATCAAAATATATTTATTTCATGTATACTAATCAATAGTACATCGTTATGATTAAAAATTCTATAATAAATTGAATTTCTGCACAAGATTATATATTCTGTGAAGTTTACCATTTGTATCTGAATAGTTTAGATAAATCTGACAATTCTCGTAAAATAGTAAATGACAGAATTTCATTGACATGAAACAGAACAAGCAATGGTATTTTTCTTTTTTTTTCTTTTATGTGGTTTTCATTCGTCATCAATCAAATGCACACGCCATTTTTCTTATATATTCTCTTTCGTTTCTTCGGCAACTGGTAGAATCATGATTATGAGAAGTAGATGACGTTAGCTTTCATGATCTACATGAAGAAAGCTAGAATGAATTTTCTCGTTGATACAGAATTGAGCAATAAGCTACAATATATAATCTAAAAAAGAATATTTGTCATACATTCTTTTATTTCGTGTAGAAATTTCAATTAATATTCTACTGCAAGCGTCTTCTTGTTAAGTTAATGATACAGGGTGTCCCATAAATTGTGGCAGATTTTTTTTAAATCTAATTTTTAATGATAATGAATACGAATTAAACTCAAACTTACACATATGATACGGCTTAACATGTACTTTTATTTCATATTTTTTTGTTTGGTTTAGATCATTGAATATACAAGAAAATAAACAAATTCAATGAACATACCCTCAATTGACAAATATCAAAAGTCTGCATTTTTTCGCTACTTTGTTCGTTTTTTCTCCAATTACTATTTCTATGGGAGTAAGTTTTTACAAAATAAATCACACATTCTGATAGCACTTGAAATTCTCTATGATATTATGTATTAATACAATGTCTTAAATTTAAGTAGCGAAAAAAAATGCAAATTTTTTGGGCTAGTCGATTCGAAGTATATTCATTGTATTTCAATCTATGAATGCAAGAAAATAAGTAAATAGACAGGGTGATAGAGAATTTTAAGCTCTATCAGAATCTATAGTTACTTTCTCAAAAAGATCATTCTATATGGATGAAAAATTTTTAAAACTAGTTTTGAAGACGAAGAAAAGATCAAGTCTGAGAATCTGGACATGAGGGTGCCTTCGTTGTCTTCAATTTATTTTGGTAATGAAAAGGTCAAAACTAAAATCTAATTCTACAGAGTAGTAGAAAACTCCGCGGGCTTTCAGAATATGTAATTAGTTTCAAAATAACTTATTTTTATAGTGACAATATATGAGAAATACAAAGTGAAATTTTTTTGTCGGGGTATATATATTGTAACACATTGATGGTGTGCTTATTCTGCACATGTACCAATTTCTTTATTTTTTTGTATATCCAATGATTTAATCCAAATAAAATATATGAAATAAAAGTACATGTTAAGTTGTATGATACGTGTAAGTTTGAGTTTGATTTGTATTCATTATCATCAAAAGTTAGATTTAAAAAAATCTGCCACAACTTATGGGACACCCTGTATCAATGCTAGCTGATGAACGAAATATACACTTGGAAACCTCCCATGCCATCATGTCACATTCAATACACATACGTGACATTGCACAAGTGTATGCGCTACATCTAAGACACTCAGTGACTGTTCAGATATGTGCATCCATGGGCGCATCTTACCGAGTGTCTCGCGCATAGGCTTGAAGCAGCACCAGTATATTATTACTGAGTCTACTGGTTTTCATCGATTTTTTATCAATTTTTCAGGTACTGAAGTTACACTAGTTGGCTTGGTTTTATCGGTTTTTATGGTTTAACGATATAGTACCATCAGCACGAAAGTTTCCAGCAGATATATTTCTAGTTGTTCACAAATGTTCCAGGTGTAAATTCTGAAATCAAGCTTCCGTAGGGTGTACGAAGCAACTCAGGGAAGGCTGAGTGCATTGATTACGGTAACAATGTGTTTGTCAGTCATTAGAAGAGAGATCTAATCTAAAAGGCAACTTTCCATCTTCAAATTTCAACTTCAATTTTCTTAGCTGAGGAGGTGTGAGTGCAAACGATGGATAAGACTGCGGGGTTCGCTGTGTAGACAAGATGTTGTCTTTTCTACAAGCTACACCATATTCTCTTGCTGAAAGTCCGTCAGTGAATGTACAACAAAACCTACGAGTCATGTGGTGAGCTGGAGTATGAATGGATGTCTAAGTCTGAGCGTAAGTGTGAATGTTAGGCGGGGCTATGAGCTTGAGTATGAATGAAAGTACGAGCTTTACTGCCAATGAGATTCCGGGAGTGAGTGTGAATGAGTGTCGAAAGAGGTGGGGCTTCAGTGTCAGCAACGGCGTGAGCCTGAGTGTGAATGAATATGTGAGTGTGGAGAACTGAAAATCTCAGTGTGGGCAATGGTGCTGACTTTGTAGTGGCCTTGGATATGGTTTGGAGCGTAAGCCTGGATATATGTGAGGGTGTGAGTGTGGCCTCATGCGTAGGTCTAGGTACGGGTATGATGGTGAATGTAAGTCTTGGATTAGCTGATGGTGTGAGTGTCGATATCAATGTGGGCGTGAGTGTATATGTCAGTATATAGGAGCACAGGTGAGAGTAGACTGTGGTATGGATGTTCGGATTAGCAGTAGACTTTCGGCTGTTGATGCTTGATAAGGTGCCCGATGTGACGTATGTGAAAAGTGTGTTTCGAGTGTGGTATCTTCCACTGAACCCTATACTCTCAAAAATGCTGAAGGACATTGGCAACAGAAACACTCAAAGAGTTCGGAGGGAACGTTCTACTACGAAATTCCGTGTTTAACGACTTGCAGGAAGGTATTATGGAATTTCTTAAGAAGCACTCTTCGCGTCTATTTCGTTACAAAGTGATTCGACGCAATTAGTATTGGTATCTCATATTAAATTTTAATCAGGTTAATTCAAAAGAACAGAGGACTAATGAAATTTTGATAGGAGCTTACCACATCTAAAACGTTGTAATCGCAAACACATGAGAATATAAAGGCTACCAACAAACTCCAACAGAGTTTTACCTGTGAAAATATTGGTTGCTTATGCTCCTTAGTGCGTAAGTTGCATCAGTGAAAATATTTGCAGGGCTTCATGTTTTATTTTTTCTTTACTCTGCATTTATGTCAACAGAAAATGATGGATGCTACAGTTTTGTTTTAAAGAAAAGAACAGCAATTTCAGCGAGCGAGTGTAACATCCAATGTCTCGTTCAATGGGAAAGCTTTTATGAAAAGAATGACTAAGGAGAGGTGCACAGCTCTTTTCACACAAACTTCCAATGTTTTCGATTACTATAGAATTGCAACGCCGCTACACATAGTTGCGAAAACAAATCGTAGTTACGCGCAACAATCATTTATTCACCGTAACTACGTGCAACTACGTCGAATTTTTTGCGATTATGAATCACAGTGCGATCGTAGCTACGACGTAATGGAGTGACAATTGCTAAAAGAGACGATATGTACTTCTTTTATGAGAATCATAAGAATGGCTTGCATGCATAACTCAATGTAAAGAACGGAAATAAATAAATGTTGGTGGAGAAACGGTTTAGTTTATATTAATGGAGGTGGTTGATGACCTTAGGATTGAAATATACGAGGGACTACCGAGACTTTTTTTCGGGATTTATTGGATTTATTTAAATCATCTGGTTTATCCGAATCAATTCATTGATAACATATAATATAGTCAAACTAAATCAAGAGAACAATATAATTGTAAAGTATCAATTCTCATCCTCATCTGGTCCACCAATCCATATGTTGTTCTCGCACACACCTCAACTATATCCACTCTCAGAATCATTTCTTTCGTTTCATAATAATATCTTTAGCGGAATTTATGGAAAAACCTTTTGAAAAAAAACGAAAAAATATATCCCGGAGGCTGCTGAAACACTATATAGGTAACCTAAACTAATAGTCAATACTGATTGAATTTTCTGTTTTACTGTATTTTACTTGCTGATGTCATGCATGTTTATCAATCATTACTCATATAAAAAAGTATTTTCATTCTATAATTTGACACTTACCTTAGATAAGTTAGATAAAATTTAGAATCTTGATAACTTTGCACTTTCTTAGATTCATATAGAAAGTTTCAATGCAGAGAAATTGAAGTTGGAGTCTTCTAAAGCAAGTCAACAAGTTTTCTCTTAATAATATTACCCCACTCCATTCGGGTTAATTATTGTTAATAGTATATCGATGCTCATGTGGTAATAATGTAACTGTTTGTGCCCCATCCTTTCAAACCGTTGTATTTATACAATTTTCTAAGGTACACTAACAGCTATCGATGCAGAAAAAATGGCGCTGCATCCATTTGAATAATGAAAAACAGGGTATATAAGCTAGCTAACTAATGATATCTGCGACAGAAGTGCTCTATATCATATGTATTATAACTTTAAGCGTTTTCTACTACAACCAATGATATATAGTAGTAGTTTCTTGGATTGATTTTATAGTACAATATCTACACCTTCAATTATTTTACATACATCCCCCTATACTATATGGTCGAATCAGTAGAAAAAATAGTAACCTCGTGAAAACTTATTATTTATGTAACAATCTATAATTATTGGAAATTTTCTTAACATTTTCAAATAGGACACATTTCGCTTGCAAATCCGTTCCCGTCCTTTAAACTTCCGAAAATAAAAACTGTTTCCTTTCTTGCAGTATGAACCGATTCATTTCGGAAATTCTTCTTCATAATACTTATCAATAGTCTATAGATGAAAAT